TCTGAAGGAATCACTTGGCTGGTGACAGACGGATGCCAAATGGTTGAAGTAATCCATTAATGGTTGGTTTTACTGCAGTACGTCTTAATAACAGTCCTCAGCTTTTAGTCAAAACCACAGGTTCAGGAGCTGAACGTGTCAGTGTCTATTTGATCTGGTTCTTTCCACTGGGTGGTTTCAGTCTATAGTCCACGCAGACTTGACTACCAACACGACTGACTCTGTACTGGGTCTGACTGGTCAGGGCAGACTGACCGCTCACCGGGGGAGAGACAACGACAACACTCCCTTCAACGATGTTAAAGCTGGGGTCCACAACTTCTTTTTTGCACCACAGAGAGAATTTATACGGAAAGTGAAGAAGTCAAGTCGACGACAGACTGGATCGTCCCGACATTAGGACCAACTTCAAACACAGACTGTGATTGATTTGTTACTGATCACAAAAATGAGGTGGTTTGTGTTGTTGTTGCCAGAGACAGAAGACAAACATGGACGTGTGTCCTCCAGTACGGACGCTCAGAGTAACAGAGTAGGACTTCCTGTGTACTACAGTACAGTGTACTACAGTATCTTGAACGTCCAGTTCTGTTGCTGTGTGATATAAACACACTGTGTTTCAAGGCTTTGATCATTTTGTGCTTTTTTTCAGTTTCTGAGCCGAGAAACATTTGGCAAATATTTAATCTTACGTCGAGGCTTAAAAGAAGCTGCAGCTGTAAATGGGTCAAATCTTCCTGTAGAAGGATTCCAGAGGGATTACAGTACCATGTGTACAAGTACAAGGCCACACCATATGAAGTAGTGTGTCTCAAAGGAGGAAGGTGACAAGTTTGAATCCCTTTGACTTTAGAATTTGGTCTAAAGAGACGAGAGATTAAGATAAGATGAGACTGGAGAAAAGAGTCAAAGTACGAGTACTGGTATTGTAGTACTGGTAATAGAGTACTGGTGTTGTAGTATTGATAAGATAGTATTGGTGTTTGTTCATATGTTAGCGCCATCTGCTGGTGTCTGCCTCCTCTTCCTTTAACAGGAAAAGTGGTCGAAGACAGATGGACTTACAAGTATTTTCAAACTGAACTACTACAAGTTCCATCAGTGTAAAAGTGAAAGAACCATCACAACAGAGGAGACGAACCATAAACCACGTCCATGGGGACCATCTGCCCCCCCCACAAACCCCCCCACCTCCACCCCAACACACCTGGGTCTTGTGGGAATTCCTGACTCATATGAATCCAATCACTGATGAGACACAGCAGGGACAATGACTGTCTCTCTGTGGACGGGGACGTGTTGGGCAGGGAGAGTGGACGGGTGGACGGGCGGACGGTGGAGCATCACTGGAGCCTCTGTGCTGTGGGTCTGAGTCTGAGTCTGAGTCTGCAGCCAGACAGGAAGAGAAAAGAAAAGGGTTTCAGTCCGCCTCACATCCCATATCCTGTCTCCAGACACGGAGCGTCAAGATAGAGACTGCACTGACAGAGAGGGATAAACTGAAGAGGAGGAGGAAGAGGAGGAGGAGGAGGAGGAGGAGGAGGAGGGCTGGGATCTGGGCCACGTCTCTGTCGGTCCCTCAGGGGCAGCCAGCAGCTGAAGCAGACTTCCATTCAGCTGATGTGAGGCCAGGGCTGCTCTGGTTTTTTTTTTTTCTGATCTTTTTTTCTAATCTTGCTCTTTTGATGTTCGCCCTTTACTCTCCACCTGACGCTCGTTCAGCCTCTCACAGTCTCTCTCTGTCCAAACACCACTGACACTGGGAGGGTGGGGGGGCAGGAGGAGCAGGTGCTTCTGCTCAATCAAGTCACGTTTCCGTCTGCATGTAATGAAAGCTAACAAAAAAAACACAAGAATAACTGTGTCGACATGACAACAGGTCATTAGAAAACACAGCCGACCAAACAGAAACCATTCAACGACAGTAAAGGACTGAGGACTGAGGACAGATTATTCACTGGGACAGAATGGTTGAAACTAATTTGAAGTATCTGGTAAAGTTCCTCCTCCTCCCCCTCCTCCTCCCCCCCTCCCCCCCCCCCCCCCTCCCCCCTCTCCCTCAACAAA